AGGGGGGGGGGGGGGGGGGGGGGGGGGGCGTAGTCATTTGTTGCTTGCCGTAGTCATTTGACCATTGACCACGCGTCCCTTTCGAGACGGAGCACCGTTCCTACCCCTACTAGAGACACCACCAACATTTGGGAGCTCTTTACGTTTCTGCCACAAACTCCATAAAAATTTCTTGCACATCTTATCCCCGTCCTCTAGGGCCTCTTGTGCCCACCATCTATCCCCAAGTATTGCGATCGTTTTGTCGCTGTTGTCTAAGTTACCAAACTTGTCCATGTCACACCCTCTCTGTCTCATTTCCTCCTCGAGATCCTCTCTTTCCTTCCTGTACAACTCACACTCCCCAACTATGTATGGTCTACTCTCCTCCGATTTGCCACATGGACATGTGTGTCTTATCCTCCTCTTCCTCTCTCCTACGGCTGGTATACCTCTTCCTCCGTTCTGGCAAGTCCAGATCGCCTACTCGAAATTGCAATTTCAGCTTTTTCGCGTAGTCCATGGGGCCGTCCAAGTACGTCTTCATCCCTATCCCTTTTTTCAACTTCCCGTATATCTCCAAGTGGTCTTCGCTTCGTACCTTCTTCCGAAGGGTTGCCTCCTCCCTACTTTCTAGCATCTCCATGACTTTCGTCTTGAACCCCCCGAACCCATACGTGTCCAACGTCTCCTCCTCGTTTCCTATCTCCTTCCAAACCTTCTCTACCACCTTGTCCCATCTGATTCCCTTCTTCCCTGGAGTCGCTTTTCCCCAAGCTGCCTTGTCAACCATGGCTGGTAGTCTATCGTCCGACATTCTACTTACCTTGTACTGCCAATTCAACTTCTACATGTCTCTCTTTGTTTTAAGAGAGTACATTCCCAATTCTGCTCTCAATACAGTGTTGCTCGTTGTACTTGAACATCCTAGTATTTTCTTGGCCGCTGCCATCTGCACCGTTTCCAGCTGCTTGACGGCCTTTTCGTTACCTTCCCATACCTCTCCTGCATACTCTAGCTTAGGTACAATCACATTCAAGAGAATACACCTCTTAATCCTAGTGTCTAGGTGTGGGTCCGTAAGGATCTCGTCCATCTTGCCTATCTGAGCTTTACCCTTCCCAATCAACTTCGCTATGTGTGCGTCCCATGAGCACTCCTTCGAAATCTCTACTCCCAGGTACGTATACTTGTCTACTACCGGTAGTTCTTCCTCCCCCCATTTACATTTGAATTCTACGGGATTTTTCTTGTCTTCGTTACAGACCACTACTGCGCATTTTCCTACGTTCGCCGACAGTCTCCATTTTCGGGTGTATCCTACCGCCGCATCTATTTGTTCTTGCAACCCTTCTGGTGTTTCGGATACCCGCACGAAATCATCTGCAAACATCAGTCCGGACACACTCTTTCCCCCTACTTGGACTCCCTGTCTTACTGCTTCAACGGCCCTTATCAAATCGTTGATGTAAATCTTAAATAGAGTGGGTGACATCGTACAGCCCTGTGCGACTCCTTGGAGTATATCCACGTACTTCGAAATTTCCCCATCCAACATCACCGCACTTCTTGTGCATTCTGTAATCTTTTTCAACTTGGGGGGGGGGGGGGGGG